TGGAAATAAAGCACAATTAAAATACATTACATTTTTCTATACTTAGTTTCTGACTGATTTATGTCTAAAATCTAAAACCAGGTACAAATGTAAGCTTCCAGTTCTTGTTTCTGCTGCTTTGTTATTGGTTGTTTAATAAAAAACCTGTTGTGCACTTAACTTTGTCAATGTCTTCGCAGGCAAAATTATTTCCTGCGACACTGTCAGACCTTCTATCTTCATGCCCTGCCATCTATCGTCGACATATTTATTTGAATTTATTAGAGTTCCTTTCGGCCTATATCAATTGACCCCCCTGCCCCATAGCCAGGAATAACAACAGCCGCGCGATTCGAACGCGCTTGGCAAAAACACCTCGCTAAATCGGTAACACCGGTAATAGGTAGAAAATCACGGGACAAACTTTCACGTGACCGCGTCGCATATTAGCGCACATTATGAGAGAGCCCGAACGTGATTTAACGCCACTCCTGACGTCACCCGGTCATGTGAGAGCGCCAAGACGCGCAAACAACACAATAAAATCCGGAATAATATTAGAATTAACGTAGGTTAAGGCTTAACGGGACGCGACCGGTATTATCCGCGGAGGGATTTGGATCTGCCGGTACCTATTGATAAATTTTCGTTACTGATTTATTGTATTTTCGCCGGGCGCGTGTCAAAAGTCATACAGTGATATATAATACCTCGTTTTATTGCGATCTGCTATCTCGATAACGCTCCGGTTCGCGAGATATGGACGCACCTGTTAAATAAATTCTGCAAAGTCAGAATGCGTAATGAAGAACAGCCGGGTATCTACTTAAGTTGCGATTAGAGACGATTTTATGGATAGCGAGTGGTTATTTTGCCAAAGCACGCTTTGTATTATGTATTGTATCCCCCTTTTATGTGTAATTGTGATTTGCATTATTGCCTTATTACCAAAATAATTGTCATATACAGGGTGGTCCAGATTTTAATAGACAAACTTCGGGAAACTACTAAACAACAAAAATTAACATGACTTTGCTCTATGAACTTAGGCGCAGAAAGCCACCGTTTATGAGATACAGGGCGTTGAAATTAACAAAAATAAACTAATTTGTTTAAATATTTGGAAAACCGCATCATAATATGTCTCATAACTCGTAAACCATTCACTTTTCGACAAAAATAAAAGAGTGTTTTTTCATCTGGAATGTGTCAGACCGTTGTAAAATGTATTCATATTACCAATTAATTCAGTGGCATAAAAGTTTTACTTTAAATAAGGAAACGATATCATTGGTTCCCCGCCACTGGTTTTTGAATTTGGACTGTGTGCATACAGAACTAGGACAAATATTTGAAAAAAAGTTTGTACCAAATTTGGATAAATTCATATAGCAAAGTGATGTTAATTTTTGTTGTTTAGTATTTCCTCGAAGTTTGTCTATTAAAAATCTGGACCACCCAAATTCGTTTTATTTTTCCCTATTTCAACGCTTTATTTACTTGGATAATAGGTCTTATAACTCGTAAACCATTCACTTTTCGACAAAAATTAAAGAATGTTTTTTCATCCGGAATATTTCAGACCGTTGTAAAATGTATTCATATTACCAATTAAATCAGTGGCATAGAAGTTTTACTCTAAATAAGGAAACAACGTCCTTGTTTCTCCGCTACTGGTTTTTGGATTTGGACTGTGTGCATACAGAACTAGGAGAAATATTCGAAAAAAAATGTGAACCAAATTTGGATAAATTGGATGGAGCGGTTTTCTAGATATTTTAAAAAATTGTTTTATTTTTGATAATTTCAACGCCCTGTGTCTCATAAACGGTGGCTTTCTGTCCCTATGTTCATAGAACAAAGTGATGTTAATTTTTGTTGTTTAGTACTTTCCCGAAGTTTGTCTATTTAAATCTGGACCACCCTGTATATAGGCGTAGCCAGTTTATTGAACAAAGGATATGGTATGTGAAATCATGGTTCAGAAATACCAATATATGGTTAAACCGAGGAATTCAGTGCAAAAGCCTTCCTACCCAACGGCCAAAAGCAAACAGTGCAGTAATAATATAGTTATTTTTGGTGCTAGATTGCGAAATGCTACTTTTGCATTCGAGAATACAAGAAGACTTAATTGTTGTAGACATTCACTGTTTTACTCAATCTTACTTAATAATGAATTTGTTCCTGTCCACACCCGATTGAGAGAGGGGGGAGTGTGCCCCTCTGCCCCCCTGGCTACGCCCATGGTCATATAGTTCCAACTAATTTGAAATTGAGGCTTCGAGTTTCTAGTTTCAGTCAAGAATTTGTATCGTTTGATACTTCTAAGAAATCTTGTAAATGATTCAACTTACCGATCATATGAGTAACTAAATAAGAGTGTTTATTTCATTGTCTTTCATTGGAAGCATAACTTGCTCCAGACGCAACTGGCGCCACCTTACATCCGGCCTGTGAACAAATAGCAGCTGTAACACAAAACAGAAACTGCAGTGACCGTGCTTAGCCGTCTTTGGTTTGAGAATGAAGTTCAAAAACTATGCAATAGATGTCGCTTTATTACGCTGCACTTGGCGGCAAATTTAAATATACCATAATATTCAGAGTGCAACTTACATATGGAATAAAATTCATATTCATTGACTACAAAGCTTTGTAAAAAAATATCAGTTCTAATGTAAAAATTGACCAGATTTTTTTTACAAAATTATGTAGTTGAAAAATGCATAAGCAGTTGTTTTTTAATTGCATGTACTTAAATTTATTCTGTTATAAATAGGAAAAGAAGATAATTACTAGTAATTAATAGTGATTACTGTGACACAGAATAGACATATACTTACCTTTCCCCTCTTTATGAAAAATATTGTTAGGTACATTTGTTTCAAACTATATTGGTTGTCATCAGTACGATACATGTACTGATTATTATTTTCTGCAAAAATTTAAATACTGATAGTATGAGTAACAAATATCAGTAGAAACGTAGACATAAGTATCTACCATTACTTAAAAATAAACTTAATATTCATTAAAAAATCCAAAAATCCGTTTTTTGTTGTCTACTATTCGACATACAAGTGAAGTTTTGACAAAATGAAGTATTATGTGAAGTACTTACACAACCAGTATTTGAATCTACTTCATCCGGCACCTAGATAAATGATGATCCGGCATGGTATCGTTAACAATAACAGTACTAGTACTTGCAGTGGTATTTAGAGATGGCAATTTGGAATAAGTGTATTTTGGTTTTTTAAATGGTGGTTCTGAAAAATCATCTAACATTGATGTTTGGCATTTATTAATTTCGGCATTTTCTAATGTTTCACTAACAAACTGTTTAACTGACTCTAGAGTAGTTTTCAAGTAAACGTTACTATTAAGAGAATCTAAATGTGATGATATACTATTTGATTCACTAAATATTGTTGGCACTGCATTTTTGTTGAGGCTATTCTTCCTACTATTTCTAAAACATTTTAATTCAAAGTGGTCTTCGCAAAAATAACATTTTTCGTTGATGAAGTTAAAATCTGGTTTACATTCTAT